AAAGATTTATGTAACATTTTAATAATATTATTGATACTTAAATAGTATTTTTGTACCCAGGTATTGTAATTACATGATATCTTTAAAGGTGCGTTTGATTCATATAATGTTTTATTATAGGGAATGTTATATTAAAGGAGCGTTTGGATCATATAATATTTTATTATAAGAGTACATTATATTAACAGAAAGAAAGATCACTTTGAAGATTACTGAGAATGTTTAGAAAATGTGTTTGATTGGTTCGAATAAATTGGTGAATAATATATTTGGTTGGGAGGATAAATAAATGGGTATGTTATATAGATTACTAAATTGCCCTCCTTTTTCAATATTAATATAATAATATTTTTTATTATTTATTTTTTGAATTACTAAAACACCCCACCCCAGCAATCGACGGAATGGCACATGACTGGTTGTATATGGCCAACCGTGAGCCGGTAAAGCTAGAAATGGCCATGGATCACAAATCCATGGCCGAAAAATGACAAGATCTATGGCCATTTCACGACCATAGAAACGCCAGATCTGGCCATTTGCGGCCATGGATTTGTCCTTACCGGTGCGTGATAGGCCAGATCCCACCTGCCGTGCACCATTTTGGCAACTAACGCAGACGATCAACGGTGGTGAGTCACGACCAATGGTGGTCTTGGGTGCCTGGGGGTATTTTGTTAACTTTTAAACTTTTTTTATGACTGAAGTGTTTTAGCTAATTTCTCAAATGTAGGGGGGCTGGGTAATTGTTATTTGGTAGACATTTGAGGGCAATTGTATCTGAAATTGTTTTTAATTAAGGGGAAAATGGGAATAAAAATCATATTACCCCGGTAATGTTTTAATAACACCCCTTAGCAAGGTAATAAGATTATCTCCCACATTACCAACGATAACCACTATTTGCAATAAAAGATTACTGTAATATTTTATTACTTGCAAACCAAACATAAGAATCTTGCAAAATAAACAAATACTACCATCGTTATCTTATTTACCCCCGATCCAAACGACCTCTAATAGAAAGACAGATTACCTTGAAGATTACTAAGAATGTTTAGGGAAATGTGTTTGGTTAGTTTGGAATAAATTGGTGGCTATGTTATATAGATTACTAAAGTACCTTCCTTTTAAAATATTAATATAATATTATTTTTTAAATTATTTTGTTTAAACCCCTAGATTTGAAATTTTGCTAAAACACCCCAACTATATAAAACTTTAATTTGTAGCAAAATCACCCCCACCCGCTCCAAGCCACTACCGACAGCCAGCCACTACCATTAGCATGTAACGCCCACATTGAGGTACGTAACTTATTTTATGCTTGTTTGCCCTTAGTTAAGCTTATATGCCGTTAGTTTTGCTTGGTTTAAGGTAGAGGATTGGCGAAGTTGGGAATTGCAGACTTCGCCATGGCGACGTATGCTCTGGAATTTTTTGCCGTGGCAAAGAGCTGGATGGAATTCTTGAGAAGATTCTAGAGAAAATTTCCTTAAGGGAGAAATGACCATTATACCCCTAATTAGTTGAAAATGTGGGGAGTGAAAAGTAAGAAAATTTTATGGAGAATGCAATGGTGATAAGGGCATTGTTGTAATTGACTAAAGGACAAAGATTGAATTCCAAGAAAGTGTAAGGGCAAAATGGGAAAGTATGAGTATTAATATGAGATATTAAGGGTTCAAGTACACAAACCCTACCATTCTCTACACCCCACACGCCACTTACATTCTCAATTCTCTCAATCTCTTCATCAATTTTCAAGGCATTTTAGAGAACTTTTGGTTGGATTTTGGGTAGATCTTTCTTCCTAAGCATTCCAAGGTAAGAATTCTTTCAAATAGATGTTGAATTCTTATAGTGTATATGCTTGGGGTTTTAGAGAAAGAGGAAGTCTACCGAAGAGAGAGCGAGGTTCAAGTGAAATTATTCAAGTTCAAGGTAAGTAAATCCAACTCAAGTTATGATTTGAGAAATCAAGTGAGTAAAGAATTTTTATATGTATGTATGTGTTTATTTTTTTGAGAATTGTTGATCAGATTGACTGTTGTGGATGGGTAGAATTTAGCCATGAGAAGTGGAAGTTGTTGTGTGGTGATTAATAGAAGTTGGGTTGAATTTAGGAAGAGTTTGAGAAGAATTATGAAGTGTATTTTCCTGGCCAGGTTTAGTGTTGATTTAAGGGAGTTTTACTCCAAATATTGGTGGCTTAAGAAAGAAGTAGAAGTATAGCTAAAATAGAAGTGAGTATGCATGCATTATGTTTGATGAAATGTCTAAGAGATGTGTATGCATGAGAGTATGTATTCATGACCTTGATATGACTTGTAGATGATAAAGGAAAACTTATTTTTATGCTACATGGCATTCTTACATTAAATATTTGCATTTAGAAAGAATATTAAGCATGAATCATCTACATGCAAACATATGCATATGCATGAGAATTTTAAAGACTAAAGAATAAAAAGAATAAAAAGAAAGAAAGAAAGAAGAAGCTAGAATGCTTTAAAAGAAGAAAGAACAGGTTGTTGCGATGGGGAACCCGTGGGTGACAAGAAGAAGAAGATTCTCACATGCACGCCGCCTTCAGTGAGCGGCCTAAGAATAAGAAGAAGAATTTGTACGGCTCGTAAGAGTGCATGTGGATAAAGGTTGTACCCAGAAGAAATACCTACATGCACGCCACCTTAAATGAGTGGCCTAAGAAGAAAAGAATTTGTACAGTCCGTAAGAGTGTATGTAGATGCAGACTGTACTCACTCACACGGCCAGGGTTCTGAATCCATGCATCAACCAAGTCCGATCGGCAAAAAAAAAGAAAAAATAAGCAAGCAAGAAAGAAAAGAAAAGAAGAGAAGAAGAAAGAAAAGAATAGAAAGAAATATAGAAAAGAGAGAAGAAAACAAAATAAGAAACAGAAAAGAAGAGAGAGAATGCATCTCTATGTATTTGTGCATTTGCATCTCATCCATGCATGATACCATGATTCCTATCATGGATAGTGAGAAATTAGAAGAAAGAAAGAACAGAAAGAACAAAGAAAATTAGAACAAAAGAACAGTGAGAACTAGAAATAGTGAAAGGGAAGAGAAAGAACAAAGAGAGAATGAAGAAGAAGAAAAAGAATAAAGTAAGGAAAGAATTCAAAATATGAGCAACGGAGATAGAAGATTAGTATAGCGGATTTACTTACTGAGCAATTAGTGCTCACTCCGTTGATTTCTATGTTTTTTGCAGGAAATAGGTGAGAAGCGATCGAATAGACGTCAAGAAGCAAAGAGAAATGGTACTATTGTCCACTGTTTTTAAGCTATTGTATATGTTACCTTTGTTTATGTACATAATTAAATATACAATAAAGAAATTTTTGGGCCCATTTATTTTCATTTTATGTTTATGTAATTTTTATTATAGTAGATTTTTCCAAGTATATTAGCTAGAAAGAGTCATTACACGGCACCACCAGAAATCACTGTAATGGTGCGCGATCGACGGGACATGGTCAGTCATACGACAGTAAGGCCATTTCACAGCCATAAAAACAGTCTTACTGGTGCACTGGCTAGATCCCGTTGGCCGTGCGCCATTACGGTGACTATTGCCGGCGGCTGACGGTGGTCTTAAGTGGCTGGGGGTATTTTATTAACTTTTAAACTTTTTTGTGGCTGGGAAGTTTTAGCTAAATTCTCAAATATAAGGGGTCTGGGTAATGGTTATTTGGTAGACATTTAAAGGCAATTGTGATCGGAATGTTATTTAATTAAAGACAAAATAGGTATAAAAATCATATTATCCAGTAATCTTCTAATAACACCCCTTAGGAGGTTATCTGATTACCAACAGTAAATACTATTTGCAACAAAAGTTATAATATTTTATTACTTGTAAACTAAACAAGGGAATCTTGAAAATTAAATGAAGATTACTCCCGTAATCTTATATTAACCTGAACCAAACGGACCCTAAGGATGATGAATTATTATGAATTTTTATATTGTGATTAGAAAACGGGTACGTTCAATTATTATACAACAGTACATATAAATCTTATTAATGCTAGAAATAATCTTTACAGTTGGTAAACATTATCAAAAAAAGTTCTATTATAAGGTGGTCATTAACAAAAGAAATTATCCTTTTAAAAAAAAAATAGTAAACAACATTTTACCACCCAAGGTTTGTCCTAATGACACTTTTTCACCCAAAAAGTTTCAAAATACCAAGTTCCCAAAGTTTACATTCCATTAATACCCAAAATACACTTTATTTTGTCAACTAGTGTTTAACGAGTTTCCAAGAGCCAAGATAAGAGGGTTTTCATAGAGTGAAGACCAATTGATAGAATGGTGGTCACCGATTGAATATTCCTCATCGGAATCAACTGAAAATTAGCCAAGAACAAAAAATCATAACTTTGTGATAGCTGATAATCAGTGAGAAATCAGGTGTCGGAATGAGAGGGGTTTTGTAGAGAAGAGACTGGAGGTTCACATGCTGGTAGTGAAGAGAATTTTTATCACCAGAATCGGCTTTGGGTATTAACGAAATATAAACCTTTGGTAAGGCAGCCATATTTTGAAACTTTTTGGGTGGTAAATGTTATTAAAGCAAATCTTGGGTGGGAAAATGGTTTACACAAAAAATAAAATATTTTTAAACAATATCCCCGGATATTCAAAATATTCTTTAAATCTCAAAAATAAAATTGTTTTTTGGGTACAATAATGCATTGCGCCGTAAGCTTCCTGGAAATTATAAGTAGAATATAACGTGTTATTAATTTTCGAGGTCAAAACCATCATATGATTATTGCCACCCCCAATCGGACGCTACTAAAGCGCATTTAAATTCAACAAACCGCGACGAATACGTTTTGCTTTTGTCTCCACATAAACTAAGATCAATTTTCTTTCAAACATTAAAAAATAATAATAATAATAATAATAATAATTCAATTTCTCATCAGATCCATCAAATACGAAATCAAGACAACAGAAAATGGCTAAGACAAAGCGCGTTTAAATTCAACAAACCGCGACGAACACGCTTTGCTTTTGTCTCCTCATCAACTAAGATAAATTTTCTTTCAAACATTAAAAAAAAAAAAAAAATCATTTCATTTCATTCCATTCCATTTCTCATCAGATCCATCAAATACAAAATCAAAACAAACAGAAAATGGCTAACAATAACAAGAACAGCAACAGCAATGATAACGGCACCGTTGATTCAGAGTCCAGTCCTCTTTTGGAGAAGCAGGTGGTAGAAGAAGAAACCAAGAATGAGAAGAAATCGAACGTTCATACCAATCCGCAAGCTGAGAAATCTGAATCTCTGGCGCCGGAATTCGGTGTATATGGTTTGACCGCGAATGGGCTGCCGTTGACTCACGGGAGTGTGATGGGTGAGCCCATGGGCCGAACCCAGTGGGACTCCTCTCTCTGCGCTTGCCTTGGTCGTAATGATGAATTCTGCAGCAGCGATCTTGAAGTTTGTGAGTGATTCTTTATTGGGTTGATTTTGATTTTAATTGTGAATTTGGAAACTTTGTTGACATGATTTTTTAATATTAGGGTTTTTGATTAATTAGATTTTGGGAAAAAAATGGATATCAGTCTTTTTAAAAATGTGTCATTGTAGATTGTACTTATCAAATACAAAGAAATGAAAGAATACCACTCAAGAAGAAGGGAAAGTAAAATTGGCGTTAGAGAAGCTGATGCGAATGAGGTTTGTTAAGACAAATAGCTTGCTTAAAACCAGAATGCTCAGTTACATTCTTGAATGCGTGACGATGATTAACGGTCAAATTATGATTATCTGCAATTTTGATTTTGTTAATTGCGGTAACAGGAGAAGAAATTATTTGTTTCGCATATTCTTCGTGATCTATTTTTGGGTCTTTGTTTGATTATAATCTGGGTTTAATTTGAAAATGGTAATAAATATGAGTTATTTGCTATGTGCAAGGCTTAAATTTAGAGCTTTTAGTATGAATTTGATTGCTTTAGTTCCTATGGCTTTTGTTCCTCTCATTTATACAAGCATTTTGTTCTTAAGAAATTTTATAGCAAATGAATTTAGAATTTGGGTATACAAAGTTTTGAGTCTGGAGATGTAATTTATTTACAAATTTCCAATCCCTAAATGTTTCTTGGTTTCATTTCTTTTGACGGTTAATCTTGATAACTGGTTAGGTCTTCTTGGAAGCATGGCTCCATGTGTGCTGTATGGAAGCAATGTGGAGAGGCTTGGTTCTGCTCCTGGGACCTTTGCAAATCACTGTCTCCCTTACACTTGTCTGTACCTGATTGGAAATGCCGTCTTGCGTTGTAATTTCCTTGCACCTTGTTTTTCATATCCTAGCCGTACAGCTATTCGTAAGAAATTTAACCTGGAGGCAAGTTACTTTTTTATCTCTCCTTCACCTGAGTTTCTATCTACTTGGATGTCTTTTGATCTTTCTGAGATTTTCATAAATTGTTCATTCTTCTTTGCTACATGTTCATCTTAAGAATAATTACATTTTCATTCTTATTTTCCTTTTGCATGTAAACTCAATCTTCTTGTCTCAAATTACTTTAGGCCATAATTTTCTTCAAAACTTTAACTGATTGATTGAAATGGGTCATGGGTTGCTTTTATTCTTCGTACAAATATTTCTCTTTAAATTTAGGGTACAGCTTTGTTGAGTTTGTTTGTTTCAGATAAAAGTGATGCAGTTTTACAGCCTATTGTGCTTTATTACTTGTGTTAACATTTTCTTCATTGTCAGTGTACCATTTTCTATACACTCCTATGAAATTTGATAATTGGTTTGATAATGTTGTGGGCTTGGCATTTTTTGCAATATTTAGTTCTAATTCAGATGATTTAACTTATTTAAGTAAGTACTTGAGCTACAACACTAATTTTCCTTTCAGTACTCTAGATCATTGTTGTCTGTAAATGATTTGTTTTTTAAGTGCCAACATCACTTTGTTCTGAGTTTTCTTTATTTTGCGTTGTGAGAATATGGGACTTCATTACTTGAATCTTTTTCTTAAAATCATTTTGTGTGTGTATATATATATATATATATATTTTTTTTTTTTTTTNATGCTCAGAATTTTTTATCTTTTTTGGGTGGGGTTTAATTATCCTTAGTTTTCTATCAGTTTTTGGGTGTCTCAGATGAAATCAGGATTTTGAAGGGCTTCAAGTATGTTGTGTATCCTTTATTTTTTCATGGAACATTGTATTCGTCTTTGTTTTTAATTTACTTCATTGAATCACTTTTCTAATTTGTTGTCCTTGGACCAGCTAACTTGTTTTTGTGCATTCATATGTGGGTAGCTTTTTGTTTTTTCCAATATTTTACAAGGTATGGGTCACATTTCTTGATATCTTAATTGCATGTCAAACATCTAAACGAGTAAGATTAGTGATGATGTCAGTTATGCTGTGTCAATACGACAAGTAGGATAGAGGATAAAGTAAAAGTAAATTACTTCCTAAAATAACCACTAAAAATGTATTCTAGATTCTCCATGCTTACACTAACATGTGCATGAAGATACACACACTTGAATAGTTGCCTATAAGTTGATGAGCTATTTCTTTGAAGTTCAAAAGGAGTCATTACCTTCCATGCTAGAAATGATAGTGCTGGGGTGGTATAATTGCTTGCAGCTCATGCTTTTTCTAATTCACCCACGCAAAATTGTTAGCATTTTGATTGGTTATTCACTACTTTATTCTTGTATTCATCATCATCATTATGATCATCAGCTAATTATGGGTCACCATTGACAGAAGATCTTATGTAGCCAATCCTGAGAAAGGGACAGTGTTGGTATATAGAGCTGTATAGGAATCTGTATTTTTTGGGGGCTGACCAAACATGCCCGTGCTAATCACTTCCCTTAGCAGGATAAGCTAAGATTTGTGTCTGATTGATATTGTTTGGGTCGTTCTGAGGTCTGAGCTAATAATATATAGACCTTGAGGTCTTCGCAACATTAGTTGCACCACATTTGAGAACCAAAAGTTAAAAACAAATAAAGATGAAGTAGATGTTGTAGTTCAGAAATTAATGCCTTAAGCATTTGGCTCTGTTGGGTTTGGGCTATCATTTCTTCCTAGGTTCAGGCATGGGCTGGGAGTCTCCAGTCTGAGTTGTATATTGCTGAATTTGTCAGCAATCTGAATAGATAATACATCATATTGACCTGGTCCGTGTCCAGCCCTACTTTGCGACTGTTCTAGAGGTCATTGTCTTCTATGACAGTTGCATATTTACAAAAGGCTTCTCCTATAACGAGTGAACAATTGCCTAATCAACCCTGAGAATTGAAGTCATTTGTTACTCCTGAAAAAGTCATTTTGTATATCCAGATTAATTCCAGAAGAGTCAGATGAGACGGTGAATTTGTGGGGCAATTTGCTAAGACATTGTTGTAAATTTGATACTGGTACTTCCTCCCGCAAGAATAATATTCTTCACCTTGCTTTCAAACAGAAACATTTTTCTTTGAACACACTTCACCTTGCTTAAAATATCCTTTTCAGTCCTGGTTACTGTATATTCTTGGAGTTCTCTATATGTAAATCCTTGTTCAATAATCAACTACTATTTGGAGTTAAAAATGGTGTCAATTCGAAATCTCTAGTAGTTCTGATTTTTAAAATTTGATGGATCACCTCTCAGGCTCTTCTGTGCACGTATCATGCGTGGAGGTTGAATATATATTTTCTGGGGCCTAAGACGCAGAAAATAAATTGGGTTTAAATTGTATATATTGTTGCCCCCAGATCTCACTGTTGTAATATTCTTGAAAGTTCCTACACTTGGGTAATATAATCTACCTACTATATTATGAAAATAAATATAAGAAAATATATATGTTGTAATAGAAAATTTCTTTTAGTTTTATCTCATGTGATAGCCTTCAGTTGAGGGTTTGTGTAATATGTATATGTATGCTCCAGGAGCATCAGAGCATGCATGTCAACAAGCCTGTCCAATTGATCAGAAGACACAAACACTTGCCTTGAGAAATTTAACTGTTTACGATTTTGTTGCTACTTCCTGTTTGATTTGTTATTTTATTGCATATGTTTCTGGAGTTAAAAGGCCCCTGCAGCAGAACTGGGTCTGGGAGTTGATGTGTTCTGTAGATGAATATTACATGTTTGCTATAGTTTTCGTACTCTATCAGCAATCCTGCAGAGGTTCTTGGAATATATTCTACCTGGATTGGTGCTTTTTAGTTGGTAAGAAGAAAATGACTTTACTTGGAGCCAGTGCTTGATTTTCTTGTTCTATAGCTTTTAGATTTAATGTTGTAGTTTTATCTCATGGACCCTTGTAGCGATGTGGTTTCTGTCAATGTGACAATATATGTTATGTTGTAGAGGATGTTGCCTGTTCATGGTAGTGTTGCCCCAGATGGTTTGACATTTTCTCCGCCTGTGTTCTGACAATAGTAATTTTGCTAATTTTATAAGTCTTATTAAAGTTTACTGTTTTGTTTTGTAGGCTGCGGAGCTCATTATGGCTTCAGTTTAAACCCCATCATATTGCTGCTGGTGCTGCCTACCTTGCTGCTAAGTTTCTAAATTTGGATCTTGCTGCTCATCAGAATATCTGGCAGGAGTTCCAGACCACACCGGCAATTCTTCAAGGTATTGTTTTCAGTATTTTTATAATATTTTAATGTTGTATTTGTATGGATACTAACCACTGATAATAACGCGAAATGAGCTTTACAATCATCCGAAGTTTGGATTTCTATAAACATGAGAAGTGGTAGTTAAGAAGCTTCGAGACATTTTCTTCTTTTAATTAAAAACTATGACGCACTTCCATATTTCATCTTTTTTGTAAAAACTTGTCTTCCGGGATTAAATTTTATACTTGTGTCTTGATAAAGTTGTTCAACAATAAATGCATGCACACGGGTTAACTGTCTACTCCCTCATTCTCAGTAAGAACGAGACATAAATTTGTTTAATTTCCACTTTCAAATTTTTGTGCAGAAAATTATTTATTTTCTTTTTAAGTTCTATTTCCCCACATTATGTCTAAATTGTTTGAACTTGTGAATGTTTGATGCAGATGTTTCACAGCAGTTGATGGAGCTCTTCTGATAGAATATTACTTTTTAGTCATAAGGATAAAGGTCAATGATACCCTTTTGCTATGTGGTATATATAATATATATATATATATATATATATATATGTGCATTCTTTTACCAAATCAGGATATGCTTATCAGTAGAATGTAGAATGAGAAGACTTGTGTCTTGAAAGGATTGGATATGTTCATATCGTCTTTCTGAACTGGCTGCAAAGATATTTTGTTACAGGTATCAACTTGTCGGAGCAATGACAAAATGAAATGATGATTAATTTGCCAAATTCTACTCTTTCAGTTTAAAATTGTCTGCATGGTTAGGTAAATATTTCGCAAAATCTTTTAGTATTTGAAGGCCGTTTACGCAAATCATTTCCAGTTTCCTTATAACAAAATTTTGAATAGATCGACTGTATAGCTGATCTGTCTTTTTGCTCAGCCTAAACAAGTATTTTGTTTAGTTTTTCCTTTGAGATTTGAGGGATATTTTATCCACTTTTGTATCCCGCTCTTCGCACAAAAATGATTTTTTTTTTTGTATTAAATAATAATAATAATAATAGTCATTTTAGCTTAGTCGAGCTCAAGCTGGCTTGATAACGAGCTCACGAGCCTGATATTGAGCTCGAGCTCGATACACTGCTGAAGCTGCAGAAAAAATCAGTTTTTAGATGTTGAACAACACGGCACAAGTTGCAAAAATGCAAACAATTGAGTTGCAACTCTAGAAAAAACACTCTCGGAAACTGCAAGTCTTGAACAGCTGGGAACATCCAAGTAGCCTCCCCAGGATGAGCTTCACTTCTAGCTAACAAGAAATTGCAAAACCTGTAGAACTGTCCATGGAACAACAAAAAAATGCAGCAATTAAGTTACAGCTCCACAGCCAGCACCTTCACAAAATTCTCCTCTAAAAACACCGCACACACACAAAAGAAAGCAACTTTCTGTTGCAGCAACTTCAACATGCCCACACTTCACAACCAGCCAACCAAGCATTGCAATCACTGCATATAGGGATGTATACGAGCTGAGTTGAGCTGAGTATCTTGGTACTCGAGCTCGTCTCGTGATGAACAGTATCGAGCTCGAGTTCAAGCTTAATCGAGCTTCAGTATTCGTGTTCGAGCTCGAGCTTGCGAGTGTGAAGGTGTACTCGAGCTCGAGCTCGAGCCTTATTAAAGTTCATAAAAGGACAAACGCAAACTGCCATTAATGGATGAAGTAAGAGAAGATAACGCAAACGCAAACTGACAGAGCAAATGTTTGTAAGAGAAGATAACTCACTTCACTGTCATTAATGTAAAGTCATTGTAGACATAAAGATGAATGTATCCAAAGACTAATAAATAAAATTTCTTACCTGGAAGGCTGGATTGCTGTAACGAACTCACTGGTCTGCAGAGAACAGAGATGATGGTGACTCGGTAAGTCAATGACAGCGAATGACACCAGAGAAGTTGTCCATGACGGCGGCGTGACTCGTGAATCGTGAGTGATTGATTTACGACGAATGGCAGCAGAGAGTTAAGACTTAGGGTTGAACGAAAAATCGCAAATGGGTTTTGACTTTTTGAGTTTTTGTTTCAGCTTTGAAATGGGTTCTGCGTTTTTGTGTATGAATGGGTTATGGGTGCTATTTGCAATTTTGACAACTTAAAAACAAAAAAACTTTTGAAATCTTGCAAATTGGCCCCTAAGCTCGTTAGAACAAGACGATCTCATGTGATAGCCTTCAGTTGAGGGTTTGTGTAATATGTATATGTATGCTCCAGGAGCATCAGAGCATGCATGTCAACAAGCCTGTCCAATTGATCAGAAGACACAAACACTTGCCTTGAGAAATTTAACTGTTTACGATTTTGTTGCTACTTCCTGTTTGATTTGTTATTTTATTGCATATGTTTCTGGAGTTAAAAGGCCCCTGCAGCAGAACTGGGTCTGGGAGTTGATGTGTTCTGTAGATGAATATTACATGTTTGCTATAGTTTTCGTACTCTATCAGCAATCCTGCAGAGGTTCTTGGAATATATTCTACCTGGATTGGTGCTTTTTAGTTGGTAAGAAGAAAATGACTTTACTTGGAGCCAGTGCTTGATTTTCTTGTTCTATAGCTTTTAGATTTAATGTTGTAGTTTTATCTCATGGACCCTTGTAGCGATGTGGTTTCTGTCAATGTGACAATATATGTTATGTTGTAGAGGATGTTGCCTGTTCATGGTAGTGTTGCCCCAGATGGTTTGACATTTTCTCCGCCTGTGTTCTGACAATAGTAATTTTGCTAATTTTATAAGTCTTATTAAAGTTTACTGTTTTGTTTTGTAGGCTGCGGAGCTCATTATGGCTTCAGTTTAAACCCCATCATATTGCTGCTGGTGCTGCCTACCTTGCTGCTAAGTTTCTAAATTTGGATCTTGCTGCTCATCAGAATATCTGGCAGGAGTTCCAGACCACACCGGCAATTCTTCAAGGTATTGTTTTCAGTATTTTTATAATATTTTAATGTTGTATTTGTATGGATACTAACCACTGATAATAACGCGAAATGAGCTTTACAATCATCCGAAGTTTGGATTTCTATAAACATGAGAAGTGGTAGTTAAGAAGCTTCGAGACATTTTCTTCTTTTAATTAAAAACTATGACGCACTTCCATATTTCATCTTTTTTGTAAAAACTTGTCTTCCGGGATTAAATTTTATACTTGTGTCTTGATAAAGTTGTTCAACAATAAATGCATGCACACGGGTTAACTGTCTACTCCCTCATTCTCAGTAAGAACGAGACATAAATTTGTTTAATTTCCACTTTCAAATTTTTGTGCAGAAAATTATTTATTTTCTTTTTAAGTTCTATTTCCCCACATTATGTCTAAATTGTTTGAACTTGTGAATGTTTGATGCAGATGTTTCACAGCAGTTGATGGAGCTCTTCTGATAGAATATTACTTTTTAGTCATAAGGATAAAGGTCAATGATACCCTTTTGCTATGTGGTATATATAATATATATATATATATATATATATATATGTGCATTCTTTTACCAAATCAGGATATGCTTATCAGTAGAATGTAGAATGAGAAGACTTGTGTCTTGAAAGGATTGGATATGTTCATATCGTCTTTCTGAACTGGCTGCAAAGATATTTTGTTACAGGTATCAACTTGTCGGAGCAATGACAAAATGAAATGATGATTAATTTGCCAAATTCTACTCTTTCAGTTTAAAATTGTCTGCATGGTTAGGTAAATATTTCGCAAAATCTTTTAGTATTTGAAGGCCGTTTACGCAAATCATTTCCAGTTTCCTTATAACAAAATTTTGAATAGATCGACTGTATAGCTGATCTGTCTTTTTGCTCAGCCTAAACAAGTATTTTGTTTAGTTTTTCCTTTGAGATTTGAGGGATATTTTATCCACTTTTGTATCCCGCTCTTCGCACAAAAATGATTTTTTTTTTTGTATTAAATAATAATAATAATAATAGTCATTTTAGCTTAGTCGAGCTCAAGCTGGCTTGATAACGAGCTCACGAGCCTGATATTGAGCTCGAGCTCGATACACTGCTGAAGCTGCAGAAAAAATCAGTTTTTAGATGTTGAACAACACGGCACAAGTTGCAAAAATGCAAACAATTGAGTTGCAACTCTAGAAAAAACACTCTCGGAAACTGCAAGTCTTGAACAGCTGGGAACATCCAAGTAGCCTCCCCAGGATGAGCTTCACTTCTAGCTAACAAGAAATTGCAAAACCTGTAGAACTGTCCATGGAACAACAAAAAAATGCAGCAATTAAGTTACAGCTCCACAGCCAGCACCTTCACAAAATTCTCCTCTAAAAACACCGCACACACACAAAAGAAAGCAACTTTCTGTTGCAGCAACTTCAACATGCCCACACTTCACAACCAGCCAACCAAGCATTGCAATCACTGCATATAGGGATGTATACGAGCTGAGTTGAGCTGAGTATCTTGGTACTCGAGCTCGTCTCGTGATGAACAGTATCGAGCTCGAGTTCAAGCTTAATCGAGCTTCAGTATTCGTGTTCGAGCTCGAGCTTGCGAGTGTGAAGGTGTACTCGAGCTCGAGCTCGAGCCTTATTAAAGTTCATAAAAGGACAAACGCAAACTGCCATTAATGGATGAAGTAAGAGAAGATAACGCAAACGCAAACTGACAGAGCAAATGTTTGTAAGAGAAGATAACTCACTTCACTGTCATTAATGTAAAGTCATTGTAGACATAAAGATGAATGTATCCAAAGACTAATAAATAAAATTTCTTACCTGGAAGGCTGGATTGCTGTAACGAACTCACTGGTCTGCAGAGAACAGAGATGATGGTGACTCGGTAAGTCAATGACAGCGAATGACACCAGAGAAGTTGTCCATGACGGCGGCGTGACTCGTGAATCGTGAGTGATTGATTTACGACGAATGGCAGCAGAGAGTTAAGACTTAGGGTTGAACGAAAAATCGCAAATGGGTTTTGACTTTTTGAGTTTTTGTTTCAGCTTTGAAATGGGTTCTGCGTTTTTGTGTATGAATGGGTTATGGGTGCTATTTGCAATTTTGACAACTTAAAAACAAAAAAACTTTTGAAATCTTGCAAATTGGCCCCTAAGCTCGTTTAAGCTCGCGAGTCTGATGAGCCGAGCTTGGCCCGGATCGAACTCGGCTCGTCACTGTTCACGAGCTCGAGCTTAGAACGAGCCGAGCTCGAGTAGCTCGCGAGCTACTCGGCTCGAGTCTCATCCCTAAGACTGCATAACACTCCTGGAAACTCAAAAAAAAAAAAAAAAAAATGCCCAAGCTTCACAACAACAAAAAGAACCATACAAACTGCAAAGTTCTTCCCCGCCCCCCCCCCCCCCCCCCCAAAAAAAAAAAAAACATAAACTGCAAAAACTAAACCTGGAAGTTTAAGAGATTTTCAAAGTGTTTACGATTTCGGGCCTCTTTTTCTGGGTGTTGAGATCGGAGATGGCAACGGGAGATTACCGATTTCACAGCAAGGAATTGTGTCTGGTTCGCGATTTGGGGGTCTTTTGTGGATTTGGGATTAGGGTAACTGGGAACTGAAATTGATTTGGTGTATCATGTTATACGAATTTGCACTTTGGGGGGAAAACTATCATTTTTTCAAACTTTTTTCACTGGAAAATATCAGTTTAATACCTAATGGTTTAAAAAATCACCAAAGCACCCTACGTAAGTGCACAGTATTTAGCGAGCTGGACCAGGCTGCGAGCCCACGAGCCAAGCTCAGTGTTCGAACGACGATCGATTAATAAACCGAGTTCGAGCCGAGTTGACTCGATAATAATCGAGTCGAGCCAAGAGCCGGCTCGGCTCGCTTATAGTCCTAGGGATAGTATGAGATATTGAGGTGATATCATTTATATTACTTGATTATTATGGTAAGTTGTCCAATATATAAGATTTCAGTAATCTTCTAAAATTAGTAGTAAGTACAGTTGGTAATACAAGAGATAATTTATTACCTCCATTTTAGGTATTTTAAAATTATTTAGTAGTAATTTTTGTTACAATTTATTATTATTAATAAAATTTTTGGTAAAAAATGCCCTTGTTATTGAAATAATTTACAATAATTTATGGATAAGTTTAACCATACTAAAGATTTAAGACAAAATTACCCTTGAACTTTAACAAAATTACCTAAGACCACGACCACACTAGGCACCCAAGAGACTACGGGCTGTCGGTCACCACCGTTGGCAACCATTAGCACTGTTTTAAAAACCAGATTAGGGGGACGGTTGAAACGTCGGTTGGACCGGTGATGTCATCACACAGCATGATGATGTCAGCACATTACAAGTCTGATTTATTTTCTAATTAGTCACCACCTTGCTTGGCCTTCACAAGTCTTGTTTATTATTTATGCAACCATTTTTAAAATGATAATGGTGGATCACACATTTTCAGCAAATTATAATCACTGTTCTTTGGTTAAGTCGAATATTATTAACTAGATCCCATGTTTAAATCTAAACTAACAAACCCTAATTCAGAATTCATCCAAAAAATAGCCTCCATATATATGTATACTAGCTGTCATCATGACTTTGGTGATACAGGAAAATAACCTCCACATTTGGGATCAAATTTAGTTTAATACTGGCAAAATAAACTCAGAAAAATGCAAGCATTTCGGTGATATAACCAAGTAAATATAAGGGATTCTATTCATTGAGCACCACATTCTTTGGAACAAACTACCTTCAGCAAAATGCAAATACGCAGAAAAAGTTCATCAACATTTAATTCAGCAAGCAAGCATTCCTCCTGCTAGATGGTTGAACCAGAGTTTCTCCAAAATTCTAATACGTATTAGAGATGAACCTGTGAATGGCGTGTAACTGGTTCAATTGTTGTTGCCGGTTAATAGTAAAAATTTTTGCAAACAAAAGAATCACATTTAAGCATTAAAAACGAAATCATTATTGAAGATGACTGTAAATGGCGTGTTTATTACCTGGATCGTCGAGGAATAGAGCTGTCGTCGTCGATTTCCAACAAGGAACATAACTGTCATCATCCAAGAATAGAGCTGTCATCGTCCAGGAATGGAGCTGCCGTCGTCGTCGATTTCTAGCGAGGAATGGAGCAACTGTCGTCGTCATTGATTTCCAGCAGGGAATGGAGTTGTAGTCATCGATTTCTGGCGAGGGAGGAACGCGTCGAGGTCGATTTGAGAGAGTTCAGTTGGGAACTTGCGATTTGGTGAATGGTTGCGATTTGAGTGTGATTTCAAAGAGGAATTTTCATAGGAGGTGAAGCTGAGAAATCTGAGAAACAAAGATGAAATTAGAGAAACAGAGATGAAATCAGATTCAGATTTAGAATGAATGGGCTTGCGATTGCGATTGCGATTGCGTAAATTTAGGGCTTTTTCACATTCGACTGGTTTTCACTCATTTTATTCAGTTTTCAAACGGTTTAAAGTGGGTTAATGTGTAATTACGGGTTTGATGGTGACTCGAACCGGACACGTGACCGGGTCCCGATCCAACCAGTTGGACTGACCGGTCTGGTCCAGTTTTTAAAACAGTGGCCATTGGTAGTCATTGGAACGACGTATGACTATCAGATCTGGCTGGTCGTGCGTTGAAAACGGCCAAATCTAGCGGTCGTGAAACGATCGGTGTTTCGCGACAGGTGAGGGTGATTTTGTTACAAATTGAAGTTTTATATAAGTTGGGGTGTTTTAGCAAAATTTTAAATGTATTGGGGTAAACGAATTCAAATAATAGTAATAATAATATTATATTAATATTAAAAAAGAGGACAATTTAGTAATCTTTTTTTTAAACATACCCATCAATTTATTTCAATCTAACCAAACACATTTCTCTAAATATTCTCAGTAATCTTTAAGGTAATCTATCTTTTTATATGGGTATAACATTCTCAATAAAACAATATTTCTTGAATCAAATACACCCTCAAGGTATAAATAAATAGAAGAAAAGTGCCTCTTTAAAATATTGTTTTGATACAAATAATGTTATACATTTTAGATAATATCCCAAATTTTCATATTAAATAATGTATTCTTTTATGTGGTATTATTAATAAATAAGTACATTGATGATTTGGAACATGATATCATCACTTTAAATAAAATGACACCTTAATTTAGACAGAGAATTTAAGGGTGCGTTTGGTTTATTATTTTGGATAGGATTATTATCACAAGATAAAATTTAAAAATTTATTAAAAAAAAAAAAAAAACCCTTAAGTTTACTAATTTAACTAAATACCCTAATATATAATTTTTTTGTAAAATGACAAAAACACCCTCACCTACCCACAGTGCCAGATTTCGGCCACCACCGCCGGAATCTGGCGTTATGACTCAGATCGGTCGGATTTGGCCGTACGTACATCGATCTAGCCGTCGTTGTTGGTCAACGATAGCAATCTGACCTTTTTCGGCGACTTACCAGCCAGTTCCAGTGGTTTGTAGGCCGTTGTGACAGATTCCAGCTACCACTGACGGTGGTTGCCGCAGAGTGGGGGTGTTTTTGTTAATTTTTAAACTTTTTTCTGGGGGTATTTAATGAAATTAAGAAACTTAAGGGGTCTAAAAATAATTAAAAAATATAATAATATTTCCCAAATAATTGAACAAACAAATATTTTGGGAATAGGATTGAGAATATGGATATGAATAATAAACCAAACTT